GCGTCGTCCCCACAAATCCAGTTTGGCTTTAAATGCAGCTACTTTATCTGCCAACTTGAAGACAGTTGTCATTTTCCCCTGAAGTGACAGATTGAGTTCATTGAGCAGGCTGAATATGTCCACAAGTAAGCCAGTTTTGGCGCTCAAGTGACCGAGATGTAACCGAGAGAATGCGGTCATTTTTCAAAATAAAAGATCGTTCAGACTCAGATAATAAATAAAACGGAAATAATTAATGATTTCTTGTACGGCCCGGTACCAATTGATCCACGGACCGGTACCGGTCCGCGGCCCGGGGGTTGGGGACCACTGCCCTTGCACATACATGCCCATATTTTCACTATTTGAATGTGTTTATGTTTTTAATATGTTACCAAGGAAACAGTTTTCTGGAATGAACAGCAAAGATTTGGAATTTGAATTCACAGCAGAATCTTTTGGTTTGTCTTCTAGAGTTCAGCAGATCCAGTTACTGGGTCGTGACATGAAAGGGCCAGCACATGATAAGCTGTGGAACCAACTGGAAGCAGAGATTCATCTCCACCGCCATAAGACTGTCATCAGAGCATGTAGAGGACGCAATGATCCTAAGAAACCGCTTCCCTCTCCAGTGGGGCATGTGAGTGTAAAACTACAAAGCTGTTTAAATGCTTGATACCTTTAGCTGTGCTTCTGATTTTGACTGTGTTAATGGAATTACAGGACTCAGACATGTTGAAGAAGACCCAGGGAGTAGGTCCTATCAGAAAGGTGGTGCTAGTCAAAGATGATCACGAGGGCCTGGGAATCTCCATTACAGTAAGAAGTCATAGTTGTGTGTGTGTGTGTGTGTGTGTGTGTTTTTTCTTCCCGTAATTGCCTGTGACAAAATCATGAAGATGCACCTAAGATCTGTTTAAAACAGCTAACAGTTTGACCAGCTAAACTAACTTTTCTAACCTTCTCAAGATGTGTTTGAAATCAAGAACCATGAGGTCATCTTAGGATTTCACTAATGATATGGAAAGACAAGTCAGTCACCTTCATGAGGCTGTTGCATGCCACAGTTACTGTTCAGTTTTGTTATTTTTTTAAGTTTGTGAAATAAAAACTAGCTGTGCAATAGTTTTAGAAAAAAGGATAATTTTTATTGTATATGTGCAGCAGGAGTTGTATTGATCATTTTTCACATCAGCAAAATATGGACTTTATGAACCATGACAAGGTGTCCACATGGTCTTAAAAAGTATTAAAAGGTAATAAATCAAGTGAAAATTAAGGCCATTAAAATGTGTTAAGTCTTAATTGCCAGTGAAATCATGTTTTATTTCATCCAGATGAAAGTCTGTATTGGTCCCACACATTCCCCCCAGTGAGTGATGCAATTTACAGACACCCTCTCCCTCATTAAGCATTATTAATTTTGAAGAATTCTCTGATGACAAACCTGCTGAGAGTTGTGCTGCAAATTTTACACCTGCTTTTTCCTGGGATGAAATTTCACCCACAACTCCCTTTGTTGCAGTGATGGTAAATCAGGTGCTGAGGGTATTTGCATAATTTTCCATTCTTTCCTCCCTGATTTTTGCATGCCTGAATGGTAATGCCTTAAAATACACATTGCATGTGACCAACTTGCAAATTTATGCAGTGCCACTTTTCTTCTTTTTATATGGCGCAAAACCCTGCTGCCACTCCTTAGTAAATATGAACACATGGAATTTCACAGTTTAGTGCCAAAAAATGAGCACCCTGGACAGGTCGCCAGTCCATCGCAGGGCTGATTGTGAATTAACGCTAGCCTGATGTTACTTACCTATATGGAAACTAGCTTGCTTGTCCACCAGTACTTCAAGTTATCCATGTGTCACGGATGGTTAAACCTGACTTTTCATAGTATTCATAACATTAATTAATGAAGCCGAATCCATAATCTTAATGAGCATCATGACGAAAAAAATCAAAGGTGAGCGCACGTGCTGCATAAATTCCTAGAAAGTTTTTAGGAAAGATGGCCGTGAATCCACATCTCCAGAGCAGCACAGCATGCATTCTGCACAGACTGCACTACTGATACTGACATCAGTCATCATGGGTCAGCAGGTTAATAATTCATTAACAAAAGACTTGCATTTACAGAGCAATGTTTATGTATTGGCAAGTGTTGTGAATTAAACAGGATAAAATGTCAACCAAAAAGGAAATACTACATTAGATATATATCCCCAGAATGAACATTAGATGTTATAAGAGAGTTATATGTCTAATTAATTCATATTTTTGACATTAGGATGATGACAATAATGGTTAAAAAAAGCAGTAATGTATTTGCCCCACCCTCAGAAGCATAAAGTGGTACTTCAAGACTTTCTTCAAGGTTGGCAGGTCTGCAGTTAGCTTACTTTTAAGCTATAGCCTGTTTCAGTTTAGACTAGTTTAGACGGATGTCATGGATTACACGAAAAAAAGTCAAATGACTTATGAGATTATTGTTCAGTCATTATTAAATATCTTTTATTTGTTATTACATGTTGCTGGTAGTGGTGTGGGAATTGCACCATTCTCTTGCCCAATCAAGATACCTCAGTGCTTCTGGGCAGCATATGACAACCGCTCATTGTTTCAAGTCACTTTTAAAAATGGATCTTAAGCAAAACAGTTGAAGTTGAGATGTACAGTTAAGGCTAAAATCAACTGATTGTGCTGTTCACTCATTCATTATGCATGATTGCAGAGTACTTGCATGCCCATTCAGTACTTGTTCAGTATTTGAAGTCAAATTTGATGTGGGTGATTGTAAAGATGTACAGAAATCTTAGCATTAAGGCAGTCCTATTGGTTGGTCAGCAAATCTGTCACATTACTAAAACATTCCTGTTATCACCATAAAATTCCCTTAAAAGAGGAGCAGTTGGCCAAATGAACTCTGGTATGTCTGCTCTTGTCAGGGTGGGAAGGAGCATGGCGTTCCCATTCTAATTTCAGAGATCCATCCAAGTCAGCCTGCAGACAGATGTGGAGGTCTGCATGTCGGAGATGCCATTCTCGCTGTCAACAGCATCAATTTGAGAGATGCCAAACACAAGGAAGCTGTCACCATTCTGTCCCAGCAGGTAACACTCAGGCGTGTAGACATTCATTTCATCACACCGTTTCTCTCTGAGTGCTCAGTCTGGGTATCTGTGTCAGCAAGGGCAGATAGAGTTTGAGGTGGTGTACGTGGCTCCAGAGGTGGACAGTGATGATGAGAATGTGGAGTACGAAGATGACACTGGCCATCGCTACCGACTCTACCTGGATGAACTGGATGACAGCAGTGCTGCTCCGCTTAGCAACAGCTCAGCATCGCTTCAAGGTAAGTTTTTATAACTGACAAAATGTACACAGATCCATAAAAGGTGTTTTCATAGTGTTTACATGTATGAAATGCAAATTCTGTCCTTATTTGTTAAGCTAGGAAGCAAAGAAGGCTTCTGATGCCATACACATTGTTTTACCAAAGTTTGTTTCCCTCATCTTTACAATAAAGGGTGCGAGTATAAAGTTTGCATGCCCTTTAATCCGAAAGGACACAATGTGCATAGAGACCAAGGTAGAAAAATACTGGAATTTTCTAGTAACACATATTGTACTTTCACACTTCTCCTGCTCACTGAATGCTTGTTCAGCTGTTTTTAGGGATGTCCCGATCCAGTTTTTTAGCTTTCAGTTAACATTCATTAAATATCTGACATTGAAATTGAAAGTAATCTGACACTGTATTTTTCAAGAGCTTCTTGATCCAAATACAGGATCATATCATGGTTCCAAAATGTAAAATTTATTAGCTTTAATTATTGATATGAATAAAAGAATAACTGGGAGCTGGACAACAGACTCTCAGAAATACAGATTCATTACAGGGCAGATACTAGCTACTACTACTTATCAGCATGTGAACATACTCTTTGTGTAACTAGTCCAATTTATATATTCATTTGACAGTTAACGAAAGGTGGCGGCTGTCGTAGTACCCCTCGACAAAATCATGAATCTGTGTTTAACTTGCAGCTGTGGAGAAGATGTCACTGAGAAATGGACCAGAGAATGGAGATACTGGGACCTCAAGTGAGACGCCTTTGGAGGAAACCCCATCGAAGCCTTCTCAGTCTGACTGCTCCTCCTAGAGGCTCAGCCAAGCAATCTCTCTCAAAGAACTGAGTCAAAAAAATTCTGACAACCTAGGGAGAAAGGAAAATGAACAAACTGTCTGTTTTCTCTCTTTTTTTGTTTTTATCTCTTGGCATTCTGGGGCGGTGGGACTTGGGTGTTAGCCAGGGCATGTGGCAATGATTTGAAGTAAAAATACATGTTTAAAGAAGCAGAGATGTAAATAGAGGAGGAAACGGTGTATGATTTGGGGGCTATTTTATTAAGATATTTATGAGAACTGGCAGTCAAATGTGAGAAAACAGAAGGCAGATGTCATGGAGCTGTCATGGAAGCACAGTGACATCAGGGAGAGCTTACTCATTGAAAAAACACTCATGTAGAGTGTTTTGCTTCTCTTAATATAGTTATTCATCTGGTCTTGACAACATTGAAAAGATTTTATTTTCTTATAGGGACCCTGGGAGAGGCCAGGAGAATATCTCAAAGTGGAAGTTAATGAAGAAATTTTTTTTTAATGACTTTTACAAAAAAGAGAATAAACCTGTTAATCTTCTTAGATGTAATTGATCATTGTAGCTAACAAGGCAAGGTCATTCATGCTCATTCAAATGATGATGTTCAATAAAAATGTCAAATTGAAGACCCTGTGAAATAAATATCAAATGGAGAAATACTTAAAATTCTTGCCTTGCCTTGTCGTCACTAGTACATGGTCTTTAAGCAAGTCAGGTAGGTAGATGATCTGAAATATCCAGGATCTAATATTTTAACTACATGAATGAAAATACTGAAGTTTGAGAGCAAAGAGGAACAATGGGAAGAATTTCCTTTTTCATGCTGAACATTTGCTGTGAAATGAGCTATTGTATCTCTGTCCACTGCAGAAGCAGTATTTCAAAGGTCTGACAAGTACCATTCCAAAGGCTGCTCCTAATTTCACCTGGAGTGGCAGCAGCCTTTCCTCTAAATTTTTATTGGCAAAATAGGCATCCTTTATCCTTTAATAGTATCCCATATCCCGCTTATTAATGGTATGTTCAGGGGATCCTAAATCCTTAAGCTCTTCTGAGATGTAATTTAGCAAAACAATCGAACAATGAAGACTATGCTGTTTTTCTATTCTATGCTGATGGGAACAAGTCTAAATAGTTAAGTATAAATGCTAAAACATTTAAAGCCTGATGTTGGAAATACACTCCCAAGACTTATAGGTCATTGTAGTTCGTACATTGACTACTTGTCATACTGTTGTATGGCTTCAAAGGGTACATGTGCCGCTGACTCATTATCTCACCTTAACTTTATAGTCTTGTTTCATCACTAGCATATTTTGGCATGGCACCACCGTATGTTTAATTTACAGGGGTAAGCTTGTTAACACATTTTGATTTTATACAATCATCTCTTTAGTAATAGGGCCTTTATTAACTCCTCTTTCTGCCTACAATATTTTCTTTGTTTAATACTCTGTTGTCATACCCTTTCTTTTGTCAGGTACACCAGTGTAATGCAGTTATGGAACAATCCTTACCAATATACTGTGTGATGCCAAGATTTTCAGTTGACTATATTGGGCTGGAGTTAAATTCCTTGTATTTTTGATAATAATTGGCAATAAAGTTTGTGCTTGTGCTTATGCTTACTGTGCCCAGCTCTCATCTATTGTCCTCATTGATATCAGTAAAAAAAAAGGATAGAAATATTTGTCAAAGAAAAGTTTATCATGGATTTTAAAATCATTGTCTCAATTTCCATGGCATTTACTTATGGTTTTTAATGGCACACTACCGGGCCTTTATTTGGGCTTATGTTACCATCCTGTTTTTTCTATTTTTAAACTCCAACATATTTCAGAGTATCAGTTAACTTCCTGTATCTAACTGTAGGCTTTTATTTACAAAATCAACTACATGCAGTATCTGGTAATGATCTGCAATTAATAATTTATTTTGAAAATCTGGCATGTTATGGGGCATCATGCGAACTTGTTGCAATCTGGCTTTTATTTTGAAAATCTGACACATTATGGGGCCTTCATGTGAACTTAATTGTGTGGATGTGAAAGGCATCCACACTTATCTAATTATTTATTATTATTGTGTGGATGCTGATTCAGCATTAAAACTATTATCCAATTATTTATTATTATTGTGTGGATACTGAGAAGCATCCACACTATGTTATCCAATTATTTATTATTGTGTGGATACTGAAAAGCATCCGCACTCTTATCCAATTGTTTATTATTATTGTCAGCAGCCACACTATTGTTATCCACTTATTTATTATTATTATAGCATCTCTCTCACACACATACACCCACACACACCCCTATGTTTCAGCAATTGATTTCTTTTTTGTAACATTTATAGTTTTTACAATATTCATTTTTTTGGGCAGTTTTCTCATCTTAAGTGATTTCCGGGTTGCAAGCAAGAGCAGACGTCTTTACTGCTCCTCTTGTCTGTTCTACGATTTTTCACATCTTCTACATTTTCAAGTCTTTGAACAAATTCTGCAACTATTAAAATGCCTCCAAGAGGGAAAAGAGCTAATAAATCAGAAGCGAACGAGGATGTTGAAGCAGAAGAGCATTATATTTCAGCGGCGCAAGTAACAAAGATGTTGAGTCAGCAGAAGCAGATGTACACTGCACTGTTGAGCCAACAACAAGACAACTTCAAAGGTTTTGTGCAACTACTTATGGAGACAAATAACAA